CCCATTAGACCGGAGGTTTTCAAGAAGACTCATGTGAAGAAGATAGAAAATGAGCCGGATTCAGATGTGTGGGTGGAGGAAAGGATCGAACTAACTTTTGTAAGTTATTTAATATGAATAATATTTATTAATAGTGAATATATTTATGATATATATATATATATATATATATATATTGATGTCAATATTTATATTTAATATTCATAATGAGTTTCATCAGTACATCGCTGAACAAATATAGATAGTTCGGTCCAAATGACACTTGAGTTGTCCTCCCAAATTTGAACAGAAAAATTCGTAGGGGGGACACACAAGGGTAGAGTCTATGGTCTAGGATCTCGAAATGATGTAAGACGACTCCAATCAGGCTTACAAGGTATTGGATCGTCACGTCAAGCCAGAGGCACTTGACGGTGTTCAAATTGCTGCTATGTTGGCTCAAATAGCACAGCTTACATCGACATTGGCAAAGTCGAAGCGGAGAAGAGTAGCTGAACAACAAAGCATGAGTGTGACCGTTTAGAAAATCAAAGAACAAGTGCTGAATCTCGCTCGTCGACCCACTACATCTTCTCCTGCCGAGGACACCGACGACTATAGTGACGAGGATGATGATTTTGTAGATAGCACTCCTAGTTTAGGTCTCTTTTATGAACTTTTTGAAACGAATTTCGAAACGAATTTTGAAAGACTTTATAAGTCTTTAAATTCTGATTTAGATACTTTTGAATGTTAATTTAAGTTTGTTGTTTTATGTTTTGTGTAGCTTCTTCATAATGTTGTGTGTTTGATTGGGCTGAATTGAATTGCATTTGCAGGTGGGCAGCCAATTTCTGCTGTCAAAAAAATTGCAGAAAAAGTGACGGACATGGTGGTTTTGTTCGTCGCTTTTCTGGGTTTTATTTTTTAAAAAACCCAGAAAAGTGACGGACGGTGTCCTTTAGTCCGTAGTTTTCTGGATTTTTCAAAAAAATAATTTCCAGAAAAGAGACGGACAGGGTCCTTTAGTCCATCGCTTTTCTGGGATTTTCAAAATGTAAATTTCCAGAAAAGCGACGAGCTCCGTCACTTTTTGGAAATTTTTAAAAAATGAAAATTTAAAAAAGCGACGGAGTCCGTCGCCTTTTAGTGATGCAGTCTGTTGCTTTTCGAAAAGCATCGAGCCAAAAAGCGACGGACATGACTGCATCACTTTTCCGTCGATTTTGACAAAAAAAGCGACACAGTCCGTCGCCTTTGGTCGTCGTTTTTCGACAGTTTTTTAGTAGTGATTCTTCATGCGACTCCTCACTGCCTTGTAGAAGGCCAATTAGATGGATCCATAGTCAATATATCAGCTTATACCCGAAAAAATATAGGATGACCCTGGCAACGTGAGGCGAAACGTTGTATCATTGCTAGGATCATGGTAATGGTTGTCGGTTAGAGAAACTCCCCACAAGTAAAGTATATTATTTTCATGTTGCTTTCATTGTATATTTTAGAGAAAAGACATAAAATCACCATTGAAGTTGTCCTGTATTTTCATAAGGACACCTTAATTTTGGAAGTGTCCTATCACCCCACAAAACATTTTGATATCTTTGTAAATGGGTCATTTGACTCATTTCCTCATTTGGGTTGCCGAGTGTGATGCTCACTCTTTTCAACCTGTTCAGCCCGGCCCGATTCTTTACTAGAATTTTTTTTTCCGTTTGTTATTTCTCAGCTTTCCCAATTCTTCACATTTTCCTGTCTCTCTTGGTGAAATCATTTTGTGCTAATCATCTCCTTGTTGATGTTTCTTGGTCAAGATTCTTGGAGGAACAAGAAATTGAATTTGACATTTTTGATCAAAACCTACTCACAAAATTAAGAAGAAATTAAATCTTAAAAAACTTCAAATTAACCCTTTCTACAGGAAATTAAAAGAGAAAACAAATTCCCACCTTATTGCGCTTGGGGAAGATGATGAATTCGTCAAAGAGAGAGTACGAACATTGATCTTGCTTTGGAAAAAAAATGAAATTGTGAAGAGAGGGCTACCAATGGCTCTTTTGAGTTTAAATTTAGGTAAGATGATGTAAATTAATTAAATAATCAATAATAAAGAAATAAAGCGACACGTGGCACTTTTAAACTAGTTAATGGAAGTGAAAACATTGCATCACGCGCCTCATGTGCGTAGTCACAATCCAGACGAGGGAATGGATCAAGATGGTCCATTTAAAAAGATATTAAAAAGTTTTGTGGGGGTAACATGACACTTCCAAAGTTAAGGTGTCTTTATGAAAATACAGGACAACTTCAGTGGTGACTTTATGTCTTTTCTCTATATTTTATTGTAAAGCTTAAATGGTTTTCACTTCATGTTCATGTATTGATTCAGTTGAGTAGCTTTCAGTCATTCAGTTCAATTATTTGTTTATTCAGCCATATTACATACTCGTACATTCCATATACTGATGTCACTCGACCTGCATCCTTTTATGATGCAAATATAGGTATTCATGATAATCAACAGACGCTTTGTTGAGATCACTCTACACTCTAGTTAGCTTTGGTGAGCCTCCTTTTATTCCAGAGGACTTCATAGTTACTTTTCAGTGAGTAGTTTTGAGGTGTCGTGGGTCTTGTCCCGACATCCTTTCTTAATAGTAGAGGCTTCATAGATAAACAGTCTTGGAGAGTCTTTCAGTTTCAAATATTTTATTTAAAACTTATGTTTCATACTAAGTATATTCAATAAAGTTTTGAGATTCAATAAACTGTTTTTAAACTATTTTTTTCAATTTTATGCTTATATATGCTCAAGTTAGTCTACCGCTTGTAGTCAGCCAGGATGAGGGTTCGCTTGAGGGCTAACAATGGTTCTCGAGTGCCGGCCACGTCCAGAGTGTAGCCTCGAGTCGTGACAATATGACTTAAGCCTTTCTAATATTTAAGACTTAAATTTTAAATCAACTAGTTTTTGCTCATTAAATTTTTCATTATCTGAACAATGTAATATAACATATTGGTAAAAGAAATTAGCTAAAAAGTTAGAAATTAATGTTTAATGTTGATACAGTGTTATGAGTGTATATTTATAAATTAAACATAAAGTCATAAATATTGTAGGTCAAATTTTTGAGCACTTTCAACTTACTTGAGGTTAAAGAGTACTTTTTGGGTTATAAAATATTAGTTTCGGAGTTAAATTCTTTTGTTTTACTTGGAATAGTTCGGAACTCTTTTTCTATTTTGAGTTGCTAGGAATATCTCTATTTTGAGTTGCTAGGAATATCTCGTCCTAATTTTACACTAAAATGGTTTAAAATATGAAGAAGTACACACAAAAAAGTCGAAGGGATTCAACATTTACTATATAAAATAATTTTAATCATATATAAACAATGTAATTTTTCGCTGAAGAAGATTCGAATGAACCCTTGGACCCTTACTAGCTCCACCCCTGATCAACATGTATCCAAGGTGAAAACAAAAGCTAATTCTTAAAGATATAATATTTCAATAATATTATTGTTTTTTTTTAAAAACATTCACTCATCAATATGTTTCTTTGACTTTATAAAGTTATTGATTGTTCATAATTTTCATGCAGGTTAAGGGAGATTTATGTAGAGCTTGTCAATGAGACTTCGTGCCGATTAAAAGTAGAATTTAAGGCACGCTTCTTCTTTTTTCAGAATTTTATTTCTCATTCATATTGACATTATTTATGTTATTAAGGTGTTTATTATATATTTGTCCATAATATATTCCAGTTAATACTTCTTTTGTGAAAATCATACTTTTATAAAATAAAAAACTATTGTAAGAAAATGAAAAATATATTTTAATCATAATTTAGAAGAATTATTCATTGATTCAAATATAGTTGTGATTTGTAATTATAATAAACAAATTATAATGTCAAACTATATTAAAGGTTGAAGTGTACTTTTTCGCAATATTATATTTCACATGAATGAATATGTTGCACTTTAAAAAAACAATCAATGTCGACAATAAAGAATTTACTATGATAAAACAGCCAAAGAGACAAAAATAAATATACACCCAACCGATATTAACATAATTGAGATATAATATTTATTTATGTAATTTATTTAAATAGATATAAGTATAACATAGTGTATTTTAATAATTTTATTAACTAACATGTGATATAAGAACAAAACATGTACATTCAACTAGTTTATAAAAAAACAGAACCATCCTTTTATTGGTAAAGAGTTAGATGCATCAGTTGCTTAGGTCCATTTAATATATAGTACTGTGTTTTTTCATATAGTATATTCTTTTACTCTCTTCGATTCAATTTATTTATTCTTCTTTTTTTTAGTGTGTTTTTAAAAATACTAGCTCTTTCCATTTTTAATTGTTATATTGTGTTTTTGAAAAAAATAATTTAAATAATTTTAAAAGTTAAATTAGATTGCATTAATTCGATATTTTAAACAAAAAATTTAAATATTCAAAAACTATATGAAAAGTACTATAAATTATAGTTTTTTACATATCAATATGATGAAAAAATACGTCTTAAAATGTTAGTCAAAGTTATTATAGTTTGACTCTGAAAAAGGAAATTATGACAAATAAAAGTGGACGGAGGGAGTATATCTTTTTCTATTTTTAGCAACTCTTTAATTTAAATTTTTCATATGACATTTTTAAAATCACGAGATTAATTATATGAAAAAGGTTCAAAAGTCTTATTTATATTTTTTAAATTTATGTGAAGGAAATAGGACAAATAAATTAGAATTAAGGTTTGATTAGATATAAATATGGATAGGGATAAGTAGTTAGGTTTTTATTTATTTATTAATAATGGGATTAGGAGATGTGATCGATCCGCTTTATTTGGGCCTACTATTATTTTGTTTTGATTTGCTCCAGATCTTTTTAGGTTTTTTTTTCCTTGTAAATCATCTCCCAATGCAAAATGAAATTTGATAACTAATATATTGATAAATGCATACGGCTGCTGGAATCAATCTATAATACTAGCCATGGCTGAGGGTAATACTAGTGCTCCAGTTAGACTTGAGGTTCGTATTTCTTTTTCCGTATTTCGTAACATACATGTGATCGATTACTATATAAATACTCTGTTCTAATTCGTTTCAAGTTTTGCAGGGCAAGTATGGTGCAATGCTTGTCTGTTGGGTTTTGGGCAATGGATGCCTCTTCTCTTGGAACAGTATGTTAACTATTCAGGACTACTATATCGCGCTCTTTCCGGTAACTTCAATTTATTCACGTTTTACTTGACCAGCTGAATATTGTAATATTATGAAATGTGCAAACAATAATGTTTGAAATTTGGTGTTTGCACAGAATTACCATCCCTCAAGGGTCCTTACACTCATTTATCAACCATTTGCATTGGGAACACTTGCAATATTGGCTTACAATGAAGCAAAAATTAACACCAGGAAAAGGAATCTTTTTGGATATACTCTTTTCTTCATCGCTACATTCATAGTTCTTGTTGTAAGTAATTTGCATTCATTTTTCTCTTTCACATTTCCGTAGTTCCTTTATTGTTCATCTAATTTGGTTTTCTATGTCTCATTAACTAATTAACAGTTGGATTTAGCTACTTCTGGTAAGGGAGGGTTAGGAAGTTTTATTGGGATATGTGTCATTAGTGGTGCCTTTGGAGTTGCAGATGCTCATGTGCAAGGTGGAATGATTGGAGACCTTTCATTCATGTTACCTGAATTTTTGCAGGTTAATTAATTTACATCATCTCTTTCTCATTTGTTTCACCTTCTATACATTTCTCGTTTTAATAAAACGTTATTTTCAGTCTTTCCTTGCTGGCTTGGCTGCCTCTGGTGCTCTAACATCTTCGTTAAGACTAATTACCAAAGCAGCATTTGACAATTCACAGGACGGTCTTCGAAAGGGTGCAAGTATGTGTCATAACATGTTGCTGTTTTATGTCCGCTTCAATTGATATAAATTCTTGTCTGTTTATCTTTCGCAAATGATCCAAATTGCTAAAGGCAAGTGCAAAATGACTTTGACATAGTCTTGTGCTCATTTCCTTCTAACTGCATTGAAAACATTTAGATGATCACCTCATTTCTACCAATAAATTGATTTACGAGTGGAATTTATTTTTGTTAAGATTTTATATCTTAAAATGCTATTCCATTTTTATCCCCCAATAAGTTTTTGAAACTCCCTACTGCAGTTCTGTTCTTCGCGGTATCCACACTCTTTGAGCTGCTTTGTGTCCTCCTATATGCATTTGTCTTCCCTAAGCTACCAATAGTGAAGTACTATCGTGCAAAAGCAGCTTCAGAGGGATCAAAGACAGTTGCTAGTGACCTTGCTGCAGCCGGAGTTTACAAACAAGGACCAGAAACAAAGGTCATTGCAATTTTTTCTTAAATTGATGGATCATTATAACTTGTACACAACATGGTGCTAACGTTGTTGCTCTTGTGTTAATTTTGTTGCAGGATGAGCATGATCCTCAACAAGTTGAGCGACTTAACAACAAAGAATTGTTATTGCAGAACATAGACTATGCAATAGATTTGTTTCTGATATATGCTCTAACATTGTCGATTTTCCCTGGATTCTTGTCTGAGGATACTGGATCTCACAACTTAGGATCATGGTTGATTAGTGATTTCTCTTCTCATTTTTCGTTACCTTTATAAATGTGCAATAACTCATTCTTACGTTTGTACAAATTCATTGTAATATTATAGGTATGCACTTGTCCTTATCGCTATGTACAATGTGTGGGATCTCATAGGGAGATACATCCCACTAATCAAATGCTTAAAGCTGGAATCGCGGAAAGGGCTGATGGTAGTGATTCTTTTGCGTTCTCTATTTGTCCCAGCTTTCTACTTCACAGCCAAATATGGTGATCAAGGATGGATGATTATGTTAACATCCTTGTTGGGAGTAAGTAATGGGCACCTCACAGTGTGTGTCCTCACTTGTGCACCAAAAGGTTACAAGGTTAGTTGATGTTTTTCCCTAATTAATCACTTATATTCAAAGTCATGACTACATACATGTATGTGAAAATTGATTTTGGGTTTATCCTACAGGGACCAGAGCAAAATGCACTAGGAAATCTTCTAGTTTTGTTTCTTTTAGGAGGTATATTTGCTGGTGTAACTCTAGATTGGTTGTGGCTTATAGGCAAAGGTTGGTAAAGCATCCATTTTAGCTACTTCCCAAAATTTGGAATAGTTATCTAATTTCATTCAATGTATATATATGATGTTCTCTTTTGGCATTAAATTACAACTTTTTTGAAGCTCTAGTTTACTTGATCATCAATATTTTCTTCACAAAGATGTAATTAATTAGTTTACTTGATCATCAATATTTTCTCAAGGAATGAATATAACTATATATATTGCACATCATGGAAAAAAAATAAAGGCAAAGAAAGGACAGGAAAATGCCATCAACAATCAAAACATGTCATAAGAAATTAACGAATATAATACAAAATGCTGAATGTGCAATAAATGCACGAACAAAAGTCTAGATTATCACTCAAGAGTTTTAGCAAAGCTAAAAATATTTGCTCTAGAACAGGTATACTACAACACCAACATACCCAGTGAAAGTGCTTTATTGTATAACAAATTTGCACTTAACCTACCTAGCATTTTTCATATTTCGTTACTTTTATTCTACCGACAATCAATTGAATTTTATTTTATGTCATGACTCAAAAACTCAGGTCATCATGACACCTACTAACTCCCACTAGTAGGTAAGCCAACCAGTAGCGGATCCAGGATTTCAATTGAGAGGGTTTGAAGAAAAAAATATAAGAATTTTTTACCAAAATAAGTCATTATTAAAATCAATTCACCAGAATAGTACGTTTTTTTTAAACTTTACAAAACTAGTATAAACGTGTTTCTCAGTAATGTTTTAGGTTATATTTTATTCAAAAAAATTCAGTGACAAAAAGACAAAGACTTGACAGAGCAAACAGACAGAAAACGTTATTGTCAGTAACGCTTTATAATTCGTTATTCTGAGGCACGTTTTATAGCTAAAACGTGATTTACAATAGCGTTTCTCTGGACAGATTGAAAATTAAAATTCAATCTTATACATGCCTCATTCAACTTATATATATATATATATATATATATGATTTTCTCTTTTATTCTCTTTCCATACATAGATAATACTTTTGGAAAGAAAATGAGAGTGAGGAAAGCTTTACTCAATATCAATTAATTTCTCTGTCTCTTCTATTATGATATAGCCATTATGTTTTTTTTAATAGTTGTTTGCTTACCTATCACATCAATTTTAATTCAATAGTTCTTTATTGATAGTCTAATATTTAATAAATAAATAAAAACTGATTGGTCTAATATTTGGAAGAGATGGTACCTTAGGCTAGAAGAAGATCTTCATATGATTCATTTACAAATTTTGAAATTGAAAGGATACAAGACAAGTTCCAATCTGTGCAAAACCTTCATCACTTTTTTTTCTTTTGTTGTAAAAAGTATGAAAAGTGAAAATCATATATATATTTCAAGTGAATGTATGTACAATATATATATATATATATATATATATATACTAAGATCATTTTAGGCCCGTGATACGGGTCCCAATATAATATAGAGCAACTTACAAAAATGACTATATTTATAGGGTTATTGAGAGAAAATGGCCAAATGTCCCCTCAACGTATATCCGGATTTCCAACTACACACTTAAACTTCACGGAAGTCCTATCACCCCCTTGAACTGTTTAAAAATGAAATAATTATACCCTTAAAAAGCCATAACCTGATCTATGGTGGCATGTGAATTTCACGCATTTGACATGTGGAAAAGTCATTAAATATTATGTTTTTTTTTATATATATTTCTTTACCCTTTTCTTTTATATTTTCACCCATCCCTTCCATCACCAAAGCACTTTCACCATTTTCATCATTACTAGAACACCATAAGTTCATCAAAACTGGGTCTTTGAAGAAGATAAGTGAATAATGAACTTAGTCTTTGAGGAAGATAGGTGAATGATGATCGCAGAACTCGTTTCGAGATATTTGGACATTGCTTTGAAAATCTAAATAACAAATTAAAAAAAGTGAAGGAATAGCGGAGAGAGGACGAATAGGGCAGAATATTGCCATTAATGGAGGTCACCGAAGCTCTCGAGGAAGATGAGGAGGAGGATCCTACAATGTCTTTCACATCATCATCGATAATTTCGATGAGGAAAAACCCGATTCACCGACGATTAATGAATTAACGAGATTGATAGCGACAATTTCTGAGATGTAGTTGATTGACTGAGGTTTGAGATTGACAATTAAAGGATCTATTAGTAAAAAAATTTGAATTTGAAGTAAACCCAGGTCCCCCGAGATGCTATTTCTTAAAAGGCAAGAAAGAAGAAAAATGGTGTACCCGATTCACCGATGATTGATGAATTAACGAGATTGATAGCGAAAATTTCTGAGATGTAGTTGATTGACTGAGGTTTGAGATTGATCATTAAAGGATCTATTAGTAAAAAAAATTGAATTTGAAGTATTCCCAGATCCCCCAAGATGCTAGTTCTTAAAAGGCAAGAAAGAAGAAAAATGGTGTGCCCCATTCTACAGTGTCTAGTGTTGCCTCCCAAATGAGGTGAATATACGAACATAAATAGGTCAACGAATCTAGGAGGAATGTTCAAGAATCCTTGAACTCCATGGAGAGATTAAACACGGTGTTGTCAAATGGTTGGAGTCACAATGTGTTCATATGTAAAATGTGCACTTTTGTACACATTGAAGATTATCTGTAAGAGATTGTGCACTTTGTACCCAAAGAATTCATCAAGTAAATTAATATATTATATTAATGTTTTATTTTTATTTTTAATATAAAGTAAATCCAAGTTGATTTTTCTCAAATCAGATCTAAAGTATTTTGGGGTGATACAAATATGTAAATTTATCTACAATTGATTTAGGTTGATTGATTTTGCAAGAGTTTTACAGGAGTTTGAAAATTTATTTGTGAATCAATAATGATAAACTCGGTGGAGATGGTGGTGACAACAATGACTTAGAGATGGTGAAAGATGAAGAGATTTGATTTATATTGCTATGGAGAAGAAAGAAAACAAATAAGAACGAAAAATAATTTAAAATAAATATATTTATTGAAAAAAGATATTTAAAACAAAATTTTAATATTGTTTTGGCTGCTCACTCTCTCAAAGAGAGTGAAATACACTCACTTTGCCAGGTAAGCATTTAGGGAGGTAATAATTTCAATTTTATAAAATTCTGGGAGGTAATAGGACCCCCGTAAAGTATGAGTGTGTAGTTGGGAATTCGGCTATAGATTAGGGGGACTTTTGGCCATTTTCTCGGTTATTGAAGTTCATTAGCTATAAGTATGTTATTTACAAAAAATGACTACAATTTATGTCTTTTGTAGGTATATTTTTGTATACGTTTTTTATTTTTCTATTTATACATTGATACAACTTTAATTACAATGAACTAAATAAGGAATTGTTTGTAAACATAACACTATGTCCTTATATTACGTCCATAAAAGGAGCAGCTTCCCATTATTAAATTAACAACTAATAATTACTTATATATATGAAGACATATCCTATCAAATTCTAATCAATTTAACGAAAATTGTGATACATCATACTCAATTTTCTTGCTGTCTTCATATTTCTTATTGAGGCATCCTAAAAGTATTCATAAACTTTGTTTTCTTAACTCAAGTTATTGTATGTCAACTAATTATTATATTTGTGAACGAATGTTAAGTATTTTGATTTTTAAATAGGTGAACTTCATCGATGTTGTATTCATATTATTTTTTTAAGATATGATGGCAAACTCTCGAATACCGAATTGAAATATGGTCCGATTTATATGAATGAACAAAATATTTGATGAATTATCCTCCAACTCGCAAATCATTAAGCACCTAAAGATTTGATTTTGAACACGACACCCATGCATACGAGTCTACACACCAAAAACATGTATTCTTAAATTTATTAAACTGCACATGCGAAAACTTCTCCTTCAAATAATGAACTATGTTATGAGTTTCGTATATCTACATATGTGGGACTTCAATCGGACGATCTAACACATAGAATCTGATTTCCTACAAATGAAAAATATATTTTGTACAATTAGCATATAAAACTTATAGTTTTAATATATCCAAGGTGCAAGTATTTATTAAAACTCAATGTATTAATATGGGAAAATGCATAAGTACCCCCCCAGCCTATGCCCGAAATCTCAGAGACACACCTAACCTTTACTAAGGTCCTATTACCCCCCCGAACTTATTTTATATGTAATATTATACCCCTTTTTGGCCTACGTGGCACTATCTTGTGGGCCCAGCGCATGTTGACAATTTTTTCAAGGATAGTGCCACGTAGGCAGAAAAGGGGTAGAATATTATAGATAAATTAAGTTCGGGGGGGGTAATAGGACCTTAGTAAAGGTTAGGTGTGTCTCTGGGATTTCGGGCATAGGCTGGGGGGGGGGGGGTACTTATGCATTTTCCCTAATAATATATCAAACGATGTAAAATATAGAAATTTAACATAAGATCACGACAATTTATAAAAATGGATACACTATTGTTAAATAAAAAATGAATACACTAATATAGTATACATATGAATACATTGTAGTTAAACAATAGATGGATACATTCGACAATCCAAAAGCAAGAAAAATGAAAATTAATACAATGTGTGGGTATCAAACTGTATAAGTAATCGTCTATATAAAAAATTAAAAAAATCAACAAATGTCAATGTCTTTTTGGTCAACTTTCCTGTAATACTTGATATTTGGTGTTAACTCAAGTATTTTATAATAAAAATACAGTATTAATGTATCCAACTATACTTGTATTCCCTAATCAATCTTTTTAATTGGATAAAGTACTTATGTATCCAGATATAATTGTATTCACAAATCAACATTTCAACTTGTGTTTATATAAAAATACAAGTATCTATGTATACAAATATTCTACTATATACAAAATTGATAATCACACAAAACCTCAATCTCATTTCGCCCATGTTCCTTGTGTACTACTTTGCTTACAAGTATATATATATACTTATATTCACAAATCACCACTTCAACTTTTGTCAATATTATATTACAAGTATCTATGTATATGGATATTCTACTATATACGAAAATGACAATTACATAACCGTCAATCTCTTTTTGCTCATGTTCTTCTTGTAC